TTATGCAGAACTTCTTAATATGATAAATTAAAATGCTTAAGAGTCTTGACCTACAAAAATTCTTAAGGCTACTGTAGTAATACAGTGAGCGCACTTTCAAAAGTTATGAAGCACATACTTACAGTTCAGTTATCGTGTCTAGAGACTAAATACTCAAAATAAAAATAGGAAGAACTCTTTACCTCACTAACAACTCTTTTCAAATGCTATTTAATTGAGTCCTTATCTTTTTAATTATAATGCCTGACTTGCAGATAGTTTATAATTTCTGACTATTGTCTGTTTTTTTGAGGCTACAGCCTGAGAAACGAGGTCACTATTTTTAATCACTTGCCTAGGCTATACATTATCTAATATGTCTTAATTTATCTTTATTTTATGTGTATGAATGTTTTACCTGTATGTATGTATAGAAGTATACCTGTGCTGTGAAATGCCTGCAGAGGCCAGAAGAGGGCGTCAGATCCCTTGGAACTGAAGTTACAGATAGTTGTTAACTCTCATGTAGGTACTAGGAACAGAATCCAGGTCCGCTGCAAGAGCAGCCAGTGCTCTTAATTGCTGAGCCATCTCTCCAGCCCTAACATTATTTAATATTTTAAATAGGTCTCAATTTTTTAGGATTAATACTTTTACAGTTCATTTTGGTTCACTGAAAAGGATCTTGTTCCTGTGATCAAACAAGAAGAAAACTCTTTCTGGTTACTTAAAGATTTTTCTTAATCCATAAATATTAAGCTTCACTTAGCAAAAGTAACATTGTTTTTCCATTAAATAAACTGTTAACACTGTGATTACTTTAAATATTTTTCAGGTTCTATAGAAATTAGTTATTATTGGGAAGAAAGAACCAGCAGCAGAGTGGAGGGGCACCAAGCTGGAGCAGTGACTATGAAAAAGTACATCATATGCATGAAAATACCATAATCAATCCTATTATTTGGTATAATTAATGTATGCTAATAAATTATACTTGGATTACTTTTTGAAGGAACTAGACTATAGTTTTAAAAAATTCTTAAGTCTTTTCCAACTTCTTCAAATGGAAAGTAACATAAAAAGAAATTGGTTTTAAGCTGGACATAGTGGCACATGCCTTTAATTCCAGCTCTCAGAGGGCAGAGGCAGGTGGATCTCTGTGAGATTGAGGCCAGCCTGGTCTACATAGAGAGTTTTAGGTCAGTCGGGGCTACAGGGAGACCCTGTGTTAAAAAGACAAAATAATAATAATAATTTTAATATATACTTAAAGAACTTCTCTTAAATATTGAAAGCAAACTGTTAGGATTAAGAGGAAGGGAACATTTCCTACCTCTGATTCCCTGGTTTGCAGGAGAAATTGGTTTGGTAGTTTCTACTACATAATCCAGAATGCCTTGTGTTATTTCACTGTTGCCTTGAAGTTTGGTTTCCAGCAAAACTTTCTTTCTCTTTTTTTTTTGTCCTTCAATGGGAACTTCATGCAATAAAATCTTAGATGAGAAAAAGGACATGAAGAAAAAGTTTAAAATGCACTTGTTTGACAATACTATGATAATCTGGCAGTCTTTTGCAACTATAGATGCATATTATAGAATCTATGTAGCTTTAAAATAATAGCAATGCCAGTCTGATCTCTAGGCCTATTAAAGCAGAATATATAAGGACTGGGCTGCTGATACTAGTAATTTCATGAATCTACAGTGCTGTCAGGATTAGGAGATAATTTCAGATAACTTTCAAGAAGCAATTAAAGCAAAATGCTAGAGAAATTAGGCTTGAGATCTGTTATATAGGAAAATACAGAAATTAAGTTATATATTATAGATATTACACACAGATATATTTCCTTCAATAACATATTTACTAATCTATATAATACAATTTAAGACTACAGAGAAGTAACTTGACTGCCTAAAGTTTGATTTAAGGCAAAATACGCTTTGAAATGAATTGTTAAAAATAATCTGAGGGGGCCAGGCATGGTGGCGCACACCTTTAATCCCAGCACTTGGGAGGCATAGGCAGGCAGATCTCTGTGAGTTCAAGGCCAGCATGAACTACATAGTGAGTTCCAGGATAGCTGGGGCTACAGGGAGACCCTGTTTCAAAAAGACCAAAAAAAAAAAGAAAAGCTGGGCATGGTGAGGCATGCCTTTAATCCCATCACTAGTGAGGTAGAGGCATTCAGATCTCTGTGACTTCAAGGCCAGCCTGGTCTACATAGTGAGTTCCAGGCCAGCTGGTGCTACAGGGAAACCCTATCTCAAAAAGACCAAAAAAAATTAAATAAATAAAAAATAAAAATTTGAAAATAATTAAGATTAATCTTTACATTAAAATTCCAAGTAAACTGACTTTTTGCATTGGTATTTTAATTTTTGAGAGCCATTCCATAAATTGTACCAAAACGTAAATAAATTGTAAGAAAAACATGCAATCTCTCTCTCTCTCTCTCTCTCTCTCTCTCTCTCTCTCTCTCTCTCTTTCATTTGTAAGGCAGAGTCTCACACAACCAAGGCTGGCTTTATGCTCATTATATAGTTTAGGATCATCTTGAACTTCTGATCCTCCTACCTCTTATCTCTCAAGTGTTTCAATCATGGGCTTATACCACCATACTTGGTTTTATACAGTGCTGGGAATCAGTGCATGGGAGGGAACCAATCTACCAACTGAGATACATCCCAACCCCTCAATTAACTTTATATTTAACAATCTACATATGTAAATGAATAGCATATTGTCAAAACAGCAGCAGAAAAAAATGCAGTGATGGGTAGAGATTTAGACTATCTAGTTGTTAATTGTAACTAATAGTACATGGTAAAGCTTTCTACGTAAATGGTAGTACAGAATGATATTCAATGGTAGAAATCAAATGTTATATAAATTTTCTCACTTCATAGGACTTAGCTCTATATTCCCGGGAGTTGAGACTGGCAGTATTCTTTGGACGAATAACAGCAACATATGCATCTTCTACGTTTTCTGGATTTCCCATTGCTTTATAAAACATACAGAAAGTTCCTTGGAAGAGTAAATGACATAACTGGTGGCAAGGTAAAAAAAAAAAAAAAAAAGCATTACATCCCAACCCAGTAATTTTTATTTCCACATATTCACTGTGAAAAACAATTATAAAAATAAAATGTTGATTTTTATCTTACAATATGTAACTAACAGGCAAGCCAGAGATGACTAATTTTATCTTCATCATCTAACTGTTCAAAACTTTAAATTTAAAAATTTCTTGTAGTCTTTATTCCTTTTCTGTTAAATATTTTTTTTTTTTTTTTTTTTTTTTTTTGGTCTTTTTGAGACAGAGTCTCCCTGTAGCCCGAGCTGTCCTGGTCACTATGTAGACCAGGCTGGCCTTGAACTCACAAAGATCTGCCTGCCTCCATCTCCCAAGTGCTGGGACCACAGGCATGCGCCACCACGTATTTTTATAGGTGTCCTTTACTGGAGAGTAAAAATCTGTCTTTGCTGTTATTGTAGAAGACTCAGGTTCAAATCCCAGTACCCACACAGTGGCTAACAACCATCTGTTTGCTACTCCAGTTCCAGGGGATCCATTGCCCTCTTCTGTCTTCCGCAGGCATTGCATGACACGGGTGCACTTGCATACATGCACACAATATACATACACATAAAATAAAAATAAAGCAAGAAAAAAAAAAGAATCTGACTTTGGGGTTTAAAAAAGTAGTATAATTATAAAATACCTTTTAAAGTAAATAATGACTTGAAATAGTGAAATAATGACTTGAAATAATATACATTTATTTTTCATAAATTATATAGAATAGTAACTTTTAAGTTTCAAAGTTGAAAGTAGCTGCCTGCTTTATACCCACTGACAGTCACTGTAAAACTTTTAGCAAGAAAAATTTTGTATTAGACATTTGGATAAGCTAATAAGAGGTTTATGATTTTCTTTAGAGGTAACCATCATAAATCAGCTGATAAAAGATCTTTTCCATTTCTGTTATCAATTCCCTAGATAATCCAATTTTTTTTCTAAATATATTTAGAGTGCGTGCGCGTGTGCATAATTTTTGCACTCTAAACTATTTTTAAGTCTCTACTGAGCAATTTCCTAAAAAGCTGTGAATTTCAGCCACACTCTTGACTGCTGAATGTTCTCTTTGGTTAGTTCTATTGCTTTCTCATGGCTACGTTAAAAAGAATCTCTTTAAGTATCTGTATCTTTTTGGTTTTTAAAGGTTCCCCTCAGTTATACACTAGTAAATATCTAAAAGAATATCAAATACTTTCTTTTCTTGTCACATCGACATGAACTTTCTCCAATTTTTTAAAAGGCCCATTAGGCATTAAAATAGTCTTTCATATTAAATGAGTTCCATACTCCTTCAACTCTCAAGAGGAAAAAAAAAGCATTTTCAAGAAAGGGTTCCAAATGTTACTTGAGAGAATACACATCTATTCTGTTTTCTATCAATGTCACTTTGCTTTGTAACTCACTTTCCTAAAATTTAAAAATGTTTTATTACTGAAAATTAAATTCTATAAAATCCAGTAACTTCTGGTATTTCCTTTCTTCTTCCTTTCTTTTTCTTTTTTTTTTGTTTTTTTTTTTGTTTTTTGAGATGGTCTCCCTGCAGCCCCAGCTGGCCTGGAATTCACTATGTAGACCAGGGTGGCCTTGAACTCACAGAGATCCTCCTGTCTCTGTCTCCCAAGTCCCGGGAGTAAAGGCATGCACCACCACGCCTGGCCCTTTTATGGCATTTTCAATAAAGTTTAGCCTGACAGCTTAATAATTATTATTGCACAAAATTATCTTAAAAAATTAAAAAGTCCATTTTAAATTCTAAAAGTTTTCATTGATTTTGTTCCAAAGAAATTAAAGATATTTCACTAAAGAAGCTACTGTGAAATGTCAGAATGAAGGTATTTCATTTTGAGTTGTTTAGAGTTTGAGGGGTAAATTCATTCTAGTTCATAAAAAGTTTTTGCAGTTCAAATTTTTTAATAAAATCATTCTTCAAACCTACTCCTACAACAGAGTTTCTTATACCATGTGAAGAAGATTAGGCTATTCTCAGAATTTCTGTTTAGCAACACCTCCACTTCATATTAACAATGACAAATGCAATAAAACTATAAATTATGAATTGCATGGATACCTTAAAGACTGCAAGCCCCTTAAAAAGACACTGTATTGTGGAGTCAATAACATGGCACAGTTATGGAAGCAATGCTTTCTATAAAGCACCTAAAAGAGAAATCAAGTAATTGTTAATGTTCTATGCAGAATTTAAAGTTAACTAATTCCTGTCTCAATTTATGCTGAGAACACATTTATTACCAACGTGTCTTCTTTGTTAATACTCATCGTATATTTGTTAATTATTTACTGTTAACAAATCCTCCAAAGATTCTTTAAAAATTAAAAAAAAAATTTTTTTTTTGGTCTTTTTGAGACAGGGTCTCCCTCTAGCCCCAGCTATCCTGGAACTCCCTATGTAGACCAGGCTGGCATTGAACTCACAGAGATCTGCCTGCCTCTGCCTCCTGAGTGCTGGGTTTAAAGGGCGTGCGCCACCACACCAGCTTGATCTATTTATTTTTATTCTATGTGTACGAGTGTTTTGCCTGCATGTGTCCCTGTGTCATGCCATGCCCAAGGAAGCCAGAAGAGGGCGTTAGATCCCCCAGAACTGGAGTTAAGAACAGATGTTTTGTGGATGTTGGGAACTGAACCCGCCTCCTCTGCAAGAGGTGCCAGTAATTTTAATCGCTGAGCCATCTCCTCCCAGCTCTCCAGTTTTTGTTTTTTGTTTTTGTTTTTGTTTTTTGAGACAGGTCTCCATGTAACCCAGCTGGCCTGGAACTTGCTATGTAGACCAGCCTGGCCTTGAACTCAGAGATCTGCCTGTCTGCCTCCTCAGTGCTGGGATTAAAGGTGTGAGCCACCACACCCAGCTAGATTTTTAAAAGTAGATTTTCAAGAAATATTCATACTTGAGCTTTTGAAATAGACATACTTCCAATGACATAAAAGGAAACAAAGGTTTAAGTCAGGGAACTGACAAAACCATTTAAGAACATCGGGAAAGCTGGCTGGGCAGAGACAGAAATGGAGAGAAAGAGAGCAACTTGATTATAAGCAATAAAGGCATACGTAGAGGTCGAAGTGTTTAGACAGTTTTTAAAATAGTTTATTATTATTATTACTATTACTATTATTATTATTTTGGTCTTTTGGAGACAGGGTCTCCCGGTAGCTCCAGCTGTCCTGGAACTATGTAGACCAGGCTGGCCTTGAACTCAGAGATCCGCCTGTCTCTGCCTCCCCAGTGCTGGGATTAAAGGTGTGCGCCACCACACCCTGCTATTTATTATTTTGATTTTATGTGTATGAGTGGATTGCCTGCATATATAAGCGCACCTGTGTCATGCAATGGCCGCGAGGGGAGAAAAGGCCATCGGATCCCCTGGAACTGGAGTTGCAGACAGTTGTTAGCTGCCATGTGGGTACCGGGATTCGAACCTGGTTCTTCTGCAAGAAGCCATCTCTCCAGCCCCTCGACAGAGTTTTTAATAAACGTTCAAGTAACTAAGTATAGGAAATATGAGGCATTTTGCCATATGGCTCACTCCACTGGGGAAAATGCTCGGGCATAAAAGATAATGTACTGCCTAAATAATAACTTACACAAATGGAAATGTTTCACAATTGGGAGAGGTATCTACGATCTATTTGGAAATATTATGTGAGAGTACTTATCATTATGACAGAGAAAGGCGAGGCGTACAACTGCATTTCAGTACCCACCGCAGGCTAATATTCCTTTGTAGGTTAGTTGGTCTGTTTGCAAACAAACACTAAAGACACGTACGTTCACCGAGAGCGTGGGAAAGAAATGCAAAAAGTGAGCCTGAGTTAGGCCAGCTACATAAAGACCTCTGTGACGCTAAAAACACCAGGGAGTTGGGAGAAGCAAAGAAAGCAGGCCGAAAACCTTAAATAAGGAGGTCGAGGTCCACTGCGGAGAAATGAGCTACATGACAAAGTGGCCAGGCCATCACTTTCCAGACAATGACAACACTGCCTGGGAAGTTTTCCGGGCCACCACCCATCAATGTTCCTCAATGGGGAACATGGCAAGCTGCTCTGTTCCAAGAGTTTCCACCCCAGAGAGGACTCTGCCTGGGGGAAAACCAGATGTGGAGAGCTTCGATGGTCCCACCTCTGTTCCTCTGGAGTCTGGGATGTTGTTTCTCTTCTAAACCCAGCGGTCTCACCGGAGCGGGCGGACGGCTGTCTCCCGGCCGCTACATTCAACTCACACGGTAGGGCCGTCACTAGGTGGACCCGGGGCCGTCACCGTTTCTCATTCCTTCTTTCTCCCAGGCCCGGCCCGACCTCCTGTGGCAGGAAGCTCCTCGATCACCCTCAGAAGCCTCCCACCGCGCCCCGAGAGCGCGGGGCCCTGGACACCAGCTCGTCACTGTCCTTCCCTCTCCTCAGCCTCAGTCACCCGTCAGGCTCTCCACAAACTCTGGGCTCAGGGTGTCCTCAGGCCTTAGCTTCCAGGCTCTCCGGGCGGGGCAATCACTTCCGGGGTCACACGCCCTGCCTGTTCGCGATCGGCGAGGGAAGTGCTTCCGGGTCGGCTTGGGGGTGCCGCCGTTCCTGCTGCTTCACGCCGGGGTTGCAGCCTTCTGGAGCTGGTGACCACCGGCTGCGAGCGCGAGGTGGTGGCGTCGGTAGAGCCAGACGCTGAGGAGGGGAGGTCGGCCGCTGCGGCTGCGCGCGCCAAGGCTCGAGCATGAGCTGGACTTGACCGCCAGGCGGAGGCAAGAGCCACCGCCCCCTCCTCCCTGCCCCGAGAGCGGCGGCGGCGCGACGGCGGGAGAGGGATGGGGGGCCCCGGCCCAGTCTGAGCTCCGCCGCGGCACCTCGGGCTCGCGCAGCGCTTCCCGCGGGCCTCCGGCAGCCGCTGGTGACCGGTGCACCCGGGCCGGCGACGAAGGGGAGCCCGGTGCGTGTGGGTGGAGCGCGGAGTGGACCCCGCTCGGCGCGAGAGGCAGGTGGCCGCGGCGGAGGAAGACCTGCAGATCCGCGGGGTTAGCCTGACGCGTGTCCCTACTCGGAGGACTAACCGTAAGTCACAGCTTCGCGAATCGGGGCTGCCTAGTTCACGCCCTTCCGTGTCTCCTGCGAGTGTGACTGTTGTCCCTCTTGTCCCCATCCTTGATCGGGGCTTTTTCACGAATCTGCAAGCCTCCTGGTTTCCGGGGCGCGCCCCATCCTCCCTATGTGTATGCACTGCCTTGTCGCTCTGTCCTCGAAAGACGTGTGCTTCCCTCATTTTCTACCAAGTTGACAGCCTCTCCCCAAACAATCTTTGAGAGGTGGAGAGCTTCGGATTCCACCGGCCCCGCGGACTTGGAGTCTTGAGGAGTGGATAGGTTAAAGTGCTCTGCAGGATTGATGGGTGGGGAAGAGGTGCAGATGGTACCAGTGAACCTTATTTTTGTTTGCTTCTGCGCCAAAACAATAGACACTTCCTCTGGACCCTCGTTCCTCTCCCTCTGTGTGTGAGCTGCTTTCCTTACTGTGGTGTTGGAAACTAGAGCCAGAGCTGTAATTAAGCATCTCCTGAGGAGCTTTTGAGACAGTCTCAGGAACACCATTCACATATGAATGGCATGTCAAATAATCTTGTATTGAAATGACCCATTCCATAGAGCTCCTCGATTAGATCAGAGAAATCAGTGTGAAAACAAAAGTATTGGTGTATTTTGAATGCTGTTAATGTTTGCTTTTTTGTTGTTGTTGTTTTTTTTTTTTTTTTACTGTTTTGGTTTGTTTTGATTACCATTTGACTAGACCTTTTCTCTTAGAATTTGATTTGCCTTTTTTAACTTGCTACTCCTGATCTTCCCAGAAATGAGATGAAATTATAATTTTAATGCTGTCAGCGATTGAACACTAGCTGTCATGTGTCTTCATGCATTTATGACTTTTCAAGGCACTATAGAAAACTGTTACTTTTAAAATATTACTCTGTATGTTGCAGGTTGCAGCTTTGTTATTCTGTAAACTACTTTAAGATAGTTTGGTAACTTTGGTGATTTATTTTTCTTGAAAAACATTTAATTAAGAAACATTGATGTATTTATCTCACCCTCTGGGGAGGACAGATCCTTTCAGCAGTTAATTTTGGGCACGTTTTTTGGTTTGTTACTTTGCATTTCAGACTTTAGTTTAAACTGGACTCAAAAGATGTAGCTTTGTCTCTCTGGAAATGTACTTTGCTTGGCACAGAAGCCAAACTTTGTGCAGAGTGAGTCCATTGTTAAAGGTGTGGCTTCTGTTTTCTGTAAAATCAGTCAGCTTCTGAATAAGAAGAGTGTAGTGTTTTAATGAGGAATGAGCAATAATGTGAAAAAATCTTTTTTTTAATTAATTTATTTTTTTAATTAAAAGAAGCATTTCATTACAACAGCATTAACCTATTCAATAACGTTTAAACTAAATAGGGTACATCTCTTTCAAAATTGGCTGTACATTTCTAGGTTTACAGATGAATTATTACACTTATAAAATCTTATACTCATTATAAACTCTCTAAGAGATAAAATTAAATTAGGTTCCAATGTTTAAAAAAGATCTCCTCTTCATTGTCAAAACACACAGTTTCATACAGAAAAATTCATTCCAAGCCTATTGACAT